AGTCAGGTTTCCATAGCCTCTGCCTGGGGCTAAGACAGACTAAATAAAACTATTTTTGCACATGTGAATATATACTTCAACAAACCAAATACTGTGTAATCTGACAAAACTGTAGGGTTCTAAAAGGATAACTTTGTTTACTTCCACATGAGAGAATTGTTAGTGATTTTATGTTTCTCTTTTTTGTTAAGTTTTCTCATTGAGAATATAATATCTTGAAATTATATTAAATAATACTTATGAAATTAAGAAACAGTTCTTTAAAAAAAAAATCATCAAAAATATGTATAGAAAGGGCCTATATCAGTTATCTATTGATGAATAACAAATAATGTCAAAACTTAGTGGCCTAAAAAAAATAAATTATTATCTCACATTTTTGTGGGCCAAGGCTTTGGGAGCAGTTTGGTTAAGGGGTCCTTGCTAGAGTCTTTTTTGTTTTGAGACAGACTCTTACTCTGTCACCCAGGCTGGAGTGCAGTGGCACTATCTTGGCTCACTGCAACCTCTGCCTCCTGGGTTCAGGTGATTCTCCTGCCTCAGCGTCCCAAGTAGCTGGGACTACCGGCATATGCCACTGCACCTGGCTAATTTTGGTATTTTCAGTAGATTCGGGGTTTTGCTATGTTGGCCAGGCCAATTTTGAACTCCTTACCTCAGCTGATCCGCCTGCCTCAGCCTCCCAAAATGCTGAGATTACAGGAATGAGCCACCACACCCGGCCGTTGCTATGGTCTTTTATGAGGTTGCAGTTAGGATACTGGCAGGGGCTGCAGTCATATGAAAACTTGATTGGGGATAGAGGATCCCCTTTTAGTATTTCTCACTTATGCGGTTTTGGGAAGAGGCTTTACTTCCTCACCATGTGGGCCTCTCTCCATAGGTAGTTTGAATTTCCTCGTGACATAGTGGTTGGTTTCTCCCAGAGTGAGTGGTCTGAAAGAGAAGAAGGCAGAATCCACAATGAATTTTATGACTTAGTACACACATCACTTCTGTCATATGCTGTTCATTGAAAGCAGGTCACTAAATACTACCTACACTCAAAGGAAAGGGAATTAAGCTCCACTCCTTTAAGAGAGGAGTGTCAGAGAATTTGTGGACATATTTTAAGATCACCACAGAGCCTATATCTACACACACACAAAAAGAACAACACATACATACAGAGACACATATAATATTAGGCTGGTGCAAAATATTAGGCTTTGTCTTTACTTTAACGGCAAAAACTGCTATTACTTTTGTACCAACCTAATACATTCAAAAAAATATTTAAAATAAAGTTATAACTGAGAGTGGAAATAACTGAACATTTAAAATTTCTCCTTTTTATTTTCTACTTTTAAAAAACAAACTTTTTTCTTTTGTAATTAAAAAAAGGAAAGTTTGACAGAGATTTGTGGTCAGTGTGGTGGTAAGACTAATTGTATTAATCAATAGATCAACTTGGTCAGATTTGATATCTTTAGAATATTTTTTCTGATTAATAAATATGGTATGTTTCCCAATTTATTTAGGCCTTCTTTTTTTTTGAGACGGAGTTTCGCTCTTGTTACCCAGGCTGGAGCGCAATGGCGCGGTCTCGGCTCACCGTAACCTCCGCCGCCTGGGTTCAAGCAATTCTCCTGCCTCAGCCTCCCGAGTAGCTGTGACTACAGGCACGCACCACCATGCCCAGCTAATTTTTGTATTTTTAGTAGAGACGGGGTTTCACCGTGTTGACCAGGATGGTCTCCATCTCTTGACCTCGTGATCCACCCACCTCGGCCTCCCAAAGTGCTGGGATTACAGGCTTGAGCCACCGCTCCCGGCCATTAGGCCTTCTTTAGTATATTTTGATTGCTATATTTTTCTCTGAAGAGACCGTGTACATTTTTCTCCTTGGTTGGATTTATTCCTTAGTATTAAATATTCTCTGATGCTATTATAAACTTTTTAATTATAATATCTAGTTGTTTCCTGTTGCTGTGGAGAAATTAATATATTCTTAGTCTAATCTTATACTAATCAGCTCCCTAAACTCTCTACTTATTTCTAATTATTTTCTCTCAGATTATTTTGGATTTTTCTATACAAACAATTGTATCATCTAAAAATGATGACAATTTTATTTTTAGCTTTCCAATTCTCATATCTGGTTTCTCTTTTATTTCTTATTGCTTTAAACCAGGAAAGCCACTATCAAGTTAAATGAAAGTTATAATCATTGATTTTTTTTTAACTTCTGATTAAATGGAAATGCTTCCAAAATTTCCCCATAATGAAAATACTTTGCTATAGTTTATCACTATAAGAAGTTGTATTGTATTTTTGATTTACAAAGAGTTTTTTAAAATCAAGAATTCAATATTATCAAGGTTTTTTCCTGAATCTAGTGAAATAACATGTTTTTTTCTTACCTATTAATGTTGGAAATTATATTTATAAACTTTATTGTTAATTAAGCCATTCTTTCATAGTTGGGCTATATTCAACTTGGTTATGATTTCTTAACTTTTTCATGAGCAGATAGATTCAATTTGCTAATATTTTTCTTGGAATTTTTGCATAAATACATTTTTGAGTAAAATAGGGTTATAATTTTTCCTTCTCAGTGCAAATCTTTCAGGATTAAGATTACTAATATTAAAATTGTAACTTCACAGAATTAATACATAAAACAATTTTAAAAGTGAGAGGCTGGAAGAATACATGTACAAAATATATAACTAAAACAGGGTTGCTACCCCAAATATATAACTTATGCTTACAAATCAACAGAGAAAATTCACAACCCAAATCGAATGGGCAAATAAAATTCACAAAGAGAACAATGCAAATATTTAATTGCTATATAAAATATCTTCCACCTCAATGTAAATTAAGACACTGCAAATTTATACAATAATTATACACCACCTAAAAATCCAGCAGAACAATGAAACTTAAAAAATAGACTAAGTAAGTCCTGATGTTGCAGGCAATGTAGAAAAACAAGAATTCCACCTCTGTCGGTAGAAGTGAAGTTCATATTTCAATTCGCAAAGCAATTTTAAAATATTTAATGAAGACCAGGCGATGTGGCTCACACCTGTAATCCCAGCATTTTGGGAGGTCGAGGTAGGTAGACCACCTGAGATCAAGAGTTCGAGACCAGCTTGGCCAACATGGTGAAACCCCATCTCTACTAAAAATATGAAAAATTAGCCGGACATGGTAGCGGGCACCTGTAATCTCAGGTACTCCTGAGGCTGAGGCAAGAGAATCACTTAAATCTGGGAGGTGTAGGTTGCAGTGAACCAAGGTCACACCATTGCACTCCAGCCTGGGCACCAAGAATGAAACTTCATCTCAAAAAAAAAAAAAAAAAAAAAAATTATCAGGTTGAAAGTGTTCATGCCCTACTACCTAACACTTCTACATCTAGAGAAACTGTCACTTTTATGCTCTGAAAGAGAGTAAAATGAGAAACAACCTTAATATCTCTCAGTAGGTAACAGTTAAGTCAGCCATACTTAATTGTGTTAGATAAAATGAAAGAAACGTATCTGCATATATCTATATCATACATGCTGAAAACAAAAATGCCAGTGGAAAAATAACATATTCAATATGGTACCATCTTTGTAAATCTTGAAAACACAAAAGCCAATGTTACGTATTGTTTATGGCTATAAATGAATGAATTAAAATAAGAAGCAAGAATAGCAAAGATACCATTAACTTGATGAACCGATGACTCTAGGGATGAAGGCCTGGGGAAAGGCATGGAGGAGTTCAAGGGGATTCCTATCGGGACATTGTGTTTACCTTTACAATTTGAAAAGAGTATGACAGTATGTTAACATTTGTTAATTTGACAGCAGAGTGTACATAAAGTTTACAAGTCTTTTGTCTTCCCATGGTTTTAAAACATTTTTCATAATTGTAAGCAAATATGTATGAAACAGAACCTCTTTAATTAGGTACGGTTGGCCCCATATCCCTAGTTCCACATTCATGAATTCAACCAATCCCAGAACAAAATTGTAGTTAGGGCTAGGATGGATGTGTCTATACTGAACACATACGGACTTTTTTCTTATTTCCTATATACAGTATAACAACTAGTTAAATAGCATTTATGTTGTTTTAGGTGTTATGCATAATCTCGAGATGATTTAAAGTACGCTGGAGGATGTGCCTGGGTTACATGCAAATACCATGCCGTTTAATGCCGGGGACCTGAACATTCCTGGATGTTGATATCTTCAGGGGTCCCAGAATTAATCCCCTGTGGATATCAAGGGAGGACTGAATTTGGTAAGTATGATGGCATATTCCCGCTCTTATTGGCCCTGAAGTTCTTCTTTCATGCGTTCTGTCTCTGATACTGAATACTCTCTGGGCTTGTTGCTTCATCTGTAATGTAAAAGGACCGAATAATCTATGTCATCGAAGATGGTCATTGAAGATTCTGTCTAGCTCTGACACTGTGGGTGCCATCCCTTTCCCAAGCCCTTGTACTTCTCTTTCCGTTTTCAAGGTTCATTTCCAGAATCCAGTAACAATCCACCTTCATTATCCCTATGGCTCCTTTCTCTAAAAAGTTACCAGGAAGCCTTCGACCAAAGCATGCTCAGAGGTCAAGTTTGCTAAAACCCTAGGAAAGTTTTTTGTTTTGCTATTCATTTTCTCACGAGTCTTTCAATTGCCATTTATTATAAAAGTCCTGAATTTTCACCCGTCGCCTCTGCCATTAAAGAGGTGTAGCGAGGAGGAGGTGCTAATAGGGAAGATGTCCCAGGGGCCAAAGGCTGCTTCTGCGCTCTTACCTGGGCTTCAGAACCCAGCAAAGGAGCAGGTAACTTAGGAACGGACTGCAAGGAGGTCGTCGTAACTGTGCGATCTGGGCAGGGCAGCGTGGGTGGAACAAGGTGTCCCCGCAGCTCCGGGGAAGAGTAGCTCTCCCTGTTCTCTGAGGGAGGCGGGGGTGTGGAGTGGGGAGGCGGGGAGACAGAGCTGCCCGGATCAGAAACGTCCTGCAGCATCTCCTCATCCGGAGGAAAAACACGTCTGGGCGAGCTCCGGTGGAAAAGCGCCCCAGGCTGCGATAGCCTAGAGATCTTGGGGCTGCAGCTCTCGCTGCCTGGGGAGGGGGCCCGGGGGCGCCTGTGGAACCGGCTCCCTGCAGCTCTGCGGCCGCGCAGGGACCTCGGCTGTGTGCAAGGTGGCGGAGGAGGCTGGCCGGGTGCGAGCGGGAACCCAGCCTCAGCATCTCCCACCTGCTCAGGACCACCGCGCAGCCATGGGCTACCAGGAGCAGGAGCCTGTCATCCCGCCGCAGGTAACACTAGAGACTGGGCAGGTTCTGAAGCCAGTTTTCTGGAAATTTGGTTCACCTGGCAACAGGTCAAGTCAGCTACCTTCACCTGGGGTCTTAGTTTAGCACCGTGTAAAGTTCTCTGGGATAAAAAGTTTTGCTGTAATCCGAGGTTTTTTGTTTTGTTTTGTTTTGTTTTTCCTTAGCATGCACTTTAATTTCACATAATCACATCACTGAATTCCTAACCGATACTGTACTTAGCTGCGGCAGCTGTAATGTGGAAATTTTAGGATGGAGTTTGCTTACCAAGCTCTGTTGAATTACCAGCTATTATTGTTATTTTTTATTACTGTTTTTTGGCATTGTTTTATTTTCATTAGTGACATTACTTATTATGACTAGAAATATCGTGCTAGTATCCTACGTATTTGTTACTTTTCTAGTTTTTAAGCTAATATTTGTTTATAATTGCTATTTTATCTATTGAAATAGAGAGATCTAGATGACAGAGAAACTCTTGTTTCTGAACGTGAGTATAAAGAGAAAACCTGTCAGTCTGCTGCTCTTTTTAATGTTGTCAACTCAATTATAGGATCTGGTATAATAGGTAAGTGTATTTTGTTTTCTTTTAAATTTTAAATGAAAGGACAAAATTTGAGACTCACTATGCTGCTAGTGTTCATTAATTATTTTTAAAGAAAAAAATACTTAAATAAGAAAATTGGTAATTTTCTTTCATAAAGCCCTTTTTTTTTTAATGTAACAGTATGTATGGGTGTCTTTTATATTGAAGATGTGGCTGCAATTCATACTCTTTCCACAGTTGAGAGTATCTTACACATGTGGTGGATGAAGATGAAACTGCATATGGGTGGTGGTCAATCTTTTTGCTGTAGGCTTCGTGGTTGATTGCTAGTGTTACCTAATTACTTTTTCCTCATACTGAAGTGTCAGTCATTTGAATCATCTTTCTTTAACGTTTTAGAAGTATAGAACTTCCAGATATTTGTAAATATTGGAGGTGGAAAAGTTTAATATGAAAACATACCAATCTTATGAAAAATTAAATTCATATTCTTTATCTATCTATACAATGTTAAATTTTAAAGTACAAAATTATTATGATATACTAATTTTAAATATGATTCCGTCAGCAATGCAAATTTGTTAATTGAAAATGCATATGATTTTCCTACCAAAGGAGCCATGCAATCAGAATTAAAAGAAATAAATAGCTCATATTTTCCCATTGTATTCGAAACAAGGGAAATTTTCTGAAAAAAGTTGAGTGCATTGCATTATAGTAATAAAGGCAGCCATGTTTTCAGTGGTTATTATTCTTTTTGGTATCTGAAAACACTCTATCTCAGAAAAGACAAGACAAAAATAAAACAAAATCCTGCAAAATACAATACATTTTGAGAATTCAGTGTTTTATAAAGTTTTGACATTTTCCTCTGTTATCATATTCTGAAAACTAAACATTTATCTGGATTGAGTTACTTGTCTTACTTTTCACAAGTTAATATGGTTCTTGATTTTACATTTTTCTATGGATAGTCTTCCCCCCTAACCCCGCACCAAATCGTACATAAAATAGAGTTACCTGAGGTAAAGTAGAAGGAAGCAAGGGCAAAGACTTGTTTACAATTCTACCTCCACGTACCATGAAGGTATGGGCAGCTGTACTTAGAATTCTAGAGCTAATTCCTGATGTGAACATGTTAAACTGAGCCATGTCAGCAATGCTAAACAGTACCACTGAATTCTCAGCAGCTTGTTTTCTTTTCTTTAAGGGAAAACTTTTCAGAGAATAAAAACTTCGAGTGGAAATATTTCAACTGTGTTTGTTTTCAATATTTTATAGTCCATAATCTAAAATTGTCCATTTCCCCAAAATTATAAAAAATAATTTTGTGTATCCCTTTCAGCGTTATAGAAAATATATTTGCCTTCTCATTTTCCTCTCATTTTTTCCTACGTAATAGCCCTGTTTTGACTCCATAGTCTGTCTTTCTTAATATTTCATAACCCTTCTGTGCTCTTTATTATCCGGTCTGTCTGCTTTCTTGGCTAGCAGGTAAGGAAGGATTTGAGGTAATGACTTTCCACATATTCCAGGGCTATGTCACTCTTATTCTAAAGTCAACGTTATTTGTGTGAACTGGCTTTTGTTTTTCATTTGCTGCTAAGTCTTATTCCATCACCTCATAAACTTGCTCTCTTGTCTTGTCCCTAAGCTAATAACAATTTATTCCAAAATAAGTATTAATACCTAACATTTAATATTAATGCTGTCTTATGTGCAACTTACAAATATTTCATATAAGAATATACATTGATTTTTACCTGTTATATGCAGAAATTGAGGGGGGGAAATTTCTGTATTTCTAGCTTCTAGCTTTCTTGTTAATGTGAGGGGTGGGGCATTTTATGTTTTTTTCAGGATTGCCTTATTCAATGAAGCAAGCTGGGTTTCCTTTGGGAATGTTGCTTTTATTCTGGGTTTCATATGTTACAGGTAAAATACTATATAATTTCTTATTGCTGTGACTTCAGTTGTGCAATGACTACACACACACACACACACACACACACACACACACATGCAAATGCTGCAACTGAATTTTCTCATTAATTAAAAAGTGCATCAAGGAATCCTAAAGAATTTAAACATTTATGCCTGAGGAGATTTACTTTTCTTACTAATCCTTTAAACAGATTAGAAAAAGTAGAAGAGCATTATATATTCCAAGCCTAAATCCTTTTCATGTGCCTTTTTCACTTCATGCAGAAAGTAGTAGATGGGGAAGTCATTTTAAAGCTTCCTGAAGGCTAAGAGAAGAATGTGCTCTCAAAGTGCAGATGGCAGGGCTTCGCAGGCAGGTGCATGTGAATGAGCAACCTTATTCAACTGTTGTTTGTGCAGGCAGAATTGAAGCCCTGGTGATCAATCAGCAGGGCTCACCACCCTTCTCCTCCTGGTTCATGCCTGCCCATACTCGTTGCCTGCTACTATCTTTAAATGCAGCAATAATTTGCTTCTACATTACATCTTCTCTTCTGCTTCCCCCTCTTCATGTAAACAGTTCATTCACACCCACATTTTGCCACTCTCCCATTTCAATGCAGGCTTTACGACTCATAATCATCTCCTCTTTTTGTTGTCCTCGTCCTCGTCCCCACTCCGTCAGCCCCCATCTCACCTTATGACAAACACTGCGTCTTTCCTCTGTCTTACGATCACTGTAAAAGAGGTGGCAATGATTAAAAATAGACACAACTCACAGGAGTTGCTGCTGTAGTGGATTCGATGCCCTTTTACCAGCTAGTGCAAAACACCTCAGCTGCCCTCTGGTCTGGAGTGTTGGCTTGGGCCTCAAGGGGGCCTCCTTGCCTCCACGAGGGACCAATGTGTGGTACAGTTGGAGCTCCAGAGCTCCACCACCTTGCTGAGCTCTTTCCCCTACCCTGTCTTCTCATTCCCCTTCCCCAGGGAGCACTCCATCCACAGGCCCCTCACCCAAGAATCTAGATCTCAGCTCTGCTTCCAGAGACCCTGCCAAAATGCCATCCCCCATAAAACCTCAGGCTTCCAAGACCTGCCCAAAACTCAGCTATTTTTTTCTCAGACTGACGAAGATACAGTAAAGCATATAATAGGTTGCAAATTCAAAGCCAGAGAGGCATTGAACTCCCTTCTTCCTATCACCCCCACCCTCAAGACCTAAACTGCTTCTAGTTCTTACAGTTCTTTATTTATAACTTAAGGCCCATAAATTAGCAGCATGGGATGTATAACTTTGTGATTATGAAGAGTTACTGGTGTTTAAAAATTGCACTCTACTTATTAGAGCATTTATTACACTAAAAAACAAAAATTCTCGGGAGGCTGAGGCAGGAGAATCGCTTGAACCTGGGAGGTGGGGGTTGCAATGAGCTGAGATCGAGCCACTGTACTCCAGCCTGGGCGACAGAGTGAGACTCTATCTCAAAATCATCATCATCATCATTATCATCATCATCATCATTATCTCATTCAAGGATTTGCCCTTGTAATTCTTAAATTTCCTGTTTCCCAATCAACACTGACAAATAATTAATTTCCACCCTAATCACTATGGTTTATTTAAGTGCATTGTAAATATTTATACACATTTTAAATAGGTAGGTAGAACAAATTTAAAAATATGCATCACCCTAGAGTTCAGAACTTGAGGAAAATGAACAGTATACTAAAGCCAAATCATATTACACACAAATTATAATGTGAATAACTTCTTCAACTAATCCTATATGTAAACCTCTAACAATAACTGTGAGAAGTTCTTTGTAAATTCACATATTGCAAATTTACTTATTAGTGGAAATTACTAACTCATAAATTTACTTGCATGATCTTAAATAACTGATAAATAAAGAATGGCCCCACAAAAGCCAAAAAAGTTATAGGCTGATTCATTTTTTTTAATCAGGCTTTTAAGAGCAAAATCTACATGTAAGGCATAATACTGAATTTTTCTTTAGATTGGAACTATAATTAATCAATGGTTTGCCTCTAGAATTATTATTTTGCCTTTCAATGCCACTAATGAGGCATGTTCAGTTCAACAGGAAGCTTTTCTAAGTTCTGTTTTCATGTTTGTGAAATGTTGGGGAACAAAACAAATTATAAACATTTACAGCAAATAATTGCAATTTGCTTTAAGATTTTCAAATTTTTGATTAATGTAAAACAATTTTTATTGTCCCAGCATATAATATGATTTAAAAGAAAAGCCCTCTGTTAAGTAACATAGATTCATTCATGATTTTTTTAAAAAGTTGCATACGATATATTTAAAGGGAGATCAAAATATTATAGTGATTAATACTTAAGATACGTAAAACTTTTAAGGGAATATATTTATATCCTGTATTTTACAAGCAGATGAAAGCATTTGTATTTATTATTGACTAAATTCTTAACATATTCTTAACTTGAAGAAATCATTTTGAACTTTTACAGAATGTTCTCTGTTCTCATCCCAACCATACCCTTCTTCAGCAAGCCTTCCTGTCATCTATGAAATTGGTTGCCTCCTCTCTGTGACAAAGCCCTCATTGGTTCCCCTTTTTGGCCAGTGAGCTGCTGTTCAGTTTCCCTGCCTCCAGCATCTGTCTACTTTCTGATCAGTCCTCCATACTGTGACAAGTGATTTTTATGAAACCTCAGCCTGAACTCTGTAAACTCCCCCGATCGAAACATTCCGAGACTCTGTAAGGACAGCAACAACAACAAAATATTACATTTAAATGCCTTCGTAGTTTGGCTATAGTCTGCATTTTTAGTCTCATTCCGATTATTCTAACTTTTCTCTCACTCTGTCGCCAACAGTCATATGCAGACGTTCTCAGCCATTATGGAGAATTCTGTTACCCACAGATAGAATAAGCTTTCACACCGTCTTCCCATTCGTAGTCCTCTTGCCTGACATTCCTTTTTTTCTGTACCTGGTGAAACCTTGTTTTTCCTCAAGACATTACTCAACTTTTTTGTGAAGCAGTTTTTAACTGAAAGCAAAGGAAGTAGAATTTATTGCTATGTCCTTTGTGTTTGCAGAATATTTTAAAATCTATTAATACTTATTAGGGCTGGGCACGGTGGATCGGGCTTGTAATCCCAGCACTTTGAGAGGCTGAGGCACATGGATCACTTGAGGTTAGGAATTTGAGACCAGCCTCACCAACATGGTGAAACCCTTCCTCTACCAAAAAATACAAAAATTAGCTGGGCGTGGTGGCTCATGTCTGTAGTCTCATCTACTCAGGAGGCTGTGGCAGCTGAGGCGGAAGAATCATTTCAACTCAGAAGGCAGAGGTTGCAGTGAGCTGAGATCATGCCACTACACTCCAGCCTGGGCAACAGAGTAAGACTCAGTCTCAACAATTAATTAATTAATTAATTAAAATAAGAATCTATTTATTAGGTCATTTATCACATTAAATTAGACAGGTGGGTAGACATATAGCAACCCTGCTATATTGATCATTGATTCATTCAACAAATATATACTGATCATGACTGTGCCAGATATAGCAATAAGAAACATTATCCTTGCTTTTTTAAAGCTCCCATTATAGTGTGTCAAGCAGAAAAAAAAATTATTATACTACTTTATTAAAAAATACCATAATAAAAATATGTACATGATGACTGAGACTGGCATTTAACCTAGCCTCAAAAGAGCAGGAATGTTCTAGGAGGAGATACTTCCTCTGAGTATTTATTAAAAAAAAAAAAAAGTGAGTTAGCAGAGGAAGCGGAAGCAGATGGAAATGTGGAAATGTAAAATGCAAACGAACAAGTGATTCAGTCTGGCTAAACTGTAGAGTTCTTGTTTGCAAATGGAGAGGGGAAGTTGGAGAGGTTTGCAAAGGCAGATAGGAAGGCTCTCCTGTAATGATAATCATTACACTCCCTGAGCTAGATGCTGAGCATGCTGTGAAATCTTTCTGAGGTAGATGTTCATGTGTTACTTTTTTGGAGGAGAAAATTGAGATTTCAGTATATTAAAATGACCTAGCCAAGGTCTGAAGTTACTGGCAACAGAGCTGGGATTTTAATTAAGCACATGGAGTCTGAGGCCAGACTACTAAGGCCTAAGTCCTGATTCTTATTTTACTACCTCTATAGAGATCAATTTACTTAAGCTTATGTGCCTCACTTTTCTCATCTGTTAAATGAGCATGATAATAGTGCCTACCTCTGGTTGTTGTGAAGATTTTAAAAGAATAGTATTTGGAAAAAGACCTATCACGCAGAAGAGCCTTGTGTTAAGCATTTGCTAGTAGTTTGTGGTTGTTATCACTATTATCTGACTCCAAATACAATAGTTTTCCCACCATCACATGCAGCTTTTCAAAAATAAGTAGAAATAGCTTAAGTTCTCACTCAGCCTCTATAATACAGTAGTCATTGTGGTGGACATTTAAACACCATAATCCTCACCCTGCCCTTCAAGGGTGCCATATTGCCTTACTTTACAGATGAGCTCAGGAAAGTCAAATCTTTTACCCAAGGTCATACAGCTAATGAATAATTTGTATCCAAAGGCATTAATGGGTCTCCCTGAGATATTTTAAGCAGAAGACACAATTAGATTTATGGTCATCTATGGCCAGATCCACTTGGTGGCGGGAGAATGCTCAGAATGTCTTGGTAGGGAAGGGAAATCAAAGGTGTCTTGGTGAGGGCCAAGGATTGGTGGATAAAAGAACTAGTAGGGGATTATTGCAGTACTCCAGAGAAGAAATTACAAAGGCCAAAGCTCTACCATAAGGCAAGTAGAGATTACAAATTGCAGGCTACATTTTAATATTTCTGATCCAATAGTTAATAGACTTGGTAACCACAGGAATATAGAAAGTAATGAAATAATTTAATGAGCAATAATGTAAGTCTAGAGAAATTCTCAAGTTTCTGTGGAAACTAATCACAGATCGGAGAAATATGGATGGAGAATCAAGTTCCAGAACCAATAACCAAATTCGAATGTATGAATCTTAAAATAAGGCTGCCTATGAGATTTTCAAGGCAAAATATTTATTAGGCAACTAGTGGTGGAAGTCTGAACTTTTGAAAGTGCCCTGAACTGGAAACACAAATTTAGAGGTTACTAACATCTAAATGAAAATTGCAACCACAGCATAAGTGAGATCACAATAGTACATCTTGAAGGGTGAGAAAAGAGGCTGGGCGCAGTGGCTCACACCTGTAATCCCAGTATTTTGGGAGACCTAGGCAGAGAGATCACCTGAGATCAGGAGTTTAAGATCAGCCTAGGCAACATGGCAAAACCACATCTCTGCTAAAAATACAAACATTAGCCGGACGTGGTGGCACATGCCTGTAATCCCAGCTACTCACGCGGCTGAGGCAGGAGAATTGCTTGAACCTGGGAGGCAGATGTTGCAGTGAGCTGGGATCATGCCTCTGCACTCCAGTCTGGGTGACAGAGCAAGATTCCATCTCAAAAAAAAACAAAAAAAAAGTGGAAAAAAAAGTCCAAGAATCCAGGGGTTTCGCAGAGTAAAAAAATAAAAATTAAAATTAAAAATTAAATAAATAAAAACTGTGAAAAATTGAGTATAAATGCCCAAAAAAGTAGGAGGAAAACCACAAGAAAGAGATGTCACAAACGCCAAAGGAGAATGGTTTAGAAAAAAAAAGAATGATAAATAACAACAAGAAAAAACAGTTCTCTGAAAGAGTGAGTAAGGGTAAGGTTTAGGAGATAACAACTGGGTTTATTCACTTGAAGATTATTGATGATCTTGTTTCACTGACATGGGAGGGAATCTTGGGGAAACGATATTGCAAGAGCTTGCATTTTAATGCATTTGCTTATTACTCAGTAGATAACAATGAGAAAGAGGGAAAAGAAAACAAGTATCTCACCTTGTGCGTAGTTGTGTACCAAATAAAACTGCAACGTCTTTCTGTAAAAAGCATTGAGTTAAATGGAAACAATAAGAGGAAGACTGACTTTTTGTTACATTATTTCTGTATATGTCTATCTTTAACTTCAATTCTAAAATTGGAATGGAAGTTTCTAAAAATGTAAATTTCTTTTTTTCCTTCTTTCTTTTTTTTTTTGAAACAGAGTCTCACTGTGTTACCCAGGCTGGAGTGCAGTGGTGCAAGCTTGGCTCACTGCAGCCTCTGCCTCCCGGGTTCAAGTGATTCTCCTACCTCAGCCTCCCAGCTAGCTGGGTCTACAGGCATGCACCACCACACCTGGCTAATTTTTGTATTTTTAGTAGAGATGGGATTTCACCATGTTGGCCCAGATGGTATCGATCTCCTGACCTCGTGATCTGCCCTCCTCAGCCTCCCAAAGTTCTGGGATTACAGGTTTGAGCCACCATGCCTAGCCAAAAATGTAAATTTCAACAGCAAAATTTCATAGAATGTCTCTTTCTTAACGATAATAACTATAAAATAAAGTTACTAATTTTATTTTATTATAAAACAAATGCTCCTAAATCTATTATTTTCTAAATGCTACCACACCTTTCATTCTCTGTCTTCACACGTGGAATACCTATGAAATATTTGATTACCCTACTTCTTGACATTTGAGCCTCACCTGGTAACAGTTGCTGTGTTGGTTTCATCAGGAAAGTAAAATGAAATGCTGGCATTTTGACTCTAGTCTGTTTTCTCTTCTGTCCTGTTCTTAGCACGGGTATGTTAAGTATATATTTGCATCTTGATGAAAAATATGTAACTGGAAACATTAGTTTCATAAAAGGTAATGTTTTACGAAAAGAAAGTTAGCTTTGCTCTGCTAGTACTGTAGCGTTAAATTAAATGCTTCTTTAGAATTTCCCTTTTTCTCCATGGTAATTAAGTTAAAACATGACAAATATTTGTATTTCATGTAATATGACATTTATTTAATTGATATTCTTGCCACAGACTTTTCCCTTGTTTTATTGATAAAAGGAGGGGCTCTCTCCGGAACAGACACCTACCAGTCTTTGGTCAATAAAACCTTCGGGTTTCCAGGGTATCTCCTCCTCTCCATTCTTCAGTTTTTGTATCCTTTTATAGGTAAGTTGACTGTGAAGATAAATATTGCAATTATGTACATAAGCATATAGTCATTTCTGAATAAAATAGTGATAATAGTCATTAAAGATATTATTATAGCTGTTGAAATCTTTTCTGAATTAAATGTTTACTTCTTTAATCATTTTCTTCATTATTTTCTGGTCCTTTTGGTTTTTTTTCTGACTATTTCTTTTAAATAAAATGAGGGTCATTTTCACAGGGTTAATGTTTTGTGCTTTCTGTATTTGGTAAAAACAAAAAAAGTGAAATGATCTAGCATAAAATGTGAATAAGAGAACACATTTCTTGTAAGGCTTAATACTTTTTTTTTTTTTTTTTTTTTTAAAAAAAAAGCTAAGGATTTGTGGAAGCCATGTACTAGGCCAATGTGCTATTTAAAGTTTATACCATAATGGTGAGATTGTCACCTAGCACTTCTTAAAAAATGAAATGTTAATGTTCACCAATGGCCAAATGGATTTTATTTTCAAAATCTGTACTACAGAAGGTATTGTTCAAACCAGTAGGTCTGTATGTCTTCACAGAAGGCTAATGACATATTTCCCAAAAAAGTCTTACTTTTTCAATGGAGGGGATATTTTAGTGCCTTCAAAAGTTTCTATTATTATTCCTAACTTTAGGCATACATGTGTCCTGAAAAGGGTGTGTTGGAAACTGAACTTTAACAAAATAAATTGCATTTTAAGTAACTACCAAAACTTGCTACTTAAAGGTGTTCTGTGATGAATCAATTTGTAAAGAGAAAATTCTTCTTTTAATACAAATTGATGCTCTAGCATAGATCTGTTGTCCAACTATCTTTAAAGTTGTCCAAATTGGTAATCATAATATACATTTGAAAGTAGTAGGATTATGTCAATATTTGGGAAGTGATAATTGATCACTTTCACAATATTTAGGATAAAATATTGTGATGGCTTATTGATGACTCTTATTTTAATTATGTTTTTAGCAATGATAAGTTACAACATAATAGCTGGAGATACTTTGAGCAAAGTTTTTCAAAGAATCCCAGGAGGTAAGTCTAAATAAAAATTCTGAGGATTTGAATGTATTTATTTTATATTGTTATTTATAGTTAACATGATTCATAATAATTTATAAATAAAAAAATTGAAAGTGAAATCACTGGATTACTTTAGGTATCTCACAATTTCCATGCTCCATTCTGATCTTAAAGTTTTGATCTACTTTTGTACGTAATTTAGTTCTTATTTAGCTGTTTGAAAAAATATTGTTACTATTTATATACTTAGAGTACTTTATATTTTAAATTCTTTATGCTTCATATCACCAGCTCTCTGTGCTAACATTTTTTCATGTACTATTTAAACTATATGATTTCTTAAATAAGCAAGAAGACTATTTTCCCCATTATTTATATTAAGGTGTAATTTAATACAGTAAAATTAGCCCTTTAAAATCTATATTCTGTGGTCAGGGGTGGTGGCTCATGCCTAATATCCCAGCACTGTGGGAGGCAGAGGAGGGTGGATCGCTTGAGCTCATGAGTTCAAGACCAGCCTGGGCAACATAGTGAAACCTTGTCTCTACAAAAAGCACAAAAATTAGCAGGACACGGTGCATGCACCTGCAGTCCCAGCTACTTGAGAGGCTGAGGTGGGAGGATCACTTGAGCCAGGAGGTAGAGGCTACAGTGAGCTGCGATCATGCCACTGCCCTCCCGGTTGGACAACAGACTGAGACCTTGTCTCAAAAAACATATTAAAAAAAACCTATACTCTGTGAGTTTTGACAGAGGAATATAGTCAAATAACTACAGCTGCAATCAAAATAAAGAATGACAAGCCAGTCACAGTAGCATGTTCCTGTAGGCCCAGCTACTCCGGAGACTGAAGCAGAAGGATTGCTTGAGCCCAAGAGTGTGAGCCACATGGAGATTCTATCTCTAAAAATAATAAAAATAATGCAGAACAATTCCATCACTCCCTCCAGTTTCCCCATTTCCCTTTGCAGTCACACCGTAATCTTCAGCTCCCCCTTTCAACCTCCTGATGCGATTTCTTTTCCTGTAGTTTTGTTTTTTTTTCAGAATGCCAGGTAAATGACATCATACTGTATGTCGCTTTTTTGAGTCTGGCTTATTTTATTTAGAAAGGTGCATCTGAGATTCAGCTGTGTCTTTAGATACATCAGTAGTTTACTCTTTTTAACAAATTGCTGAGAAGCATCCCATTTTATGGATGTACAATGGTGTTTCTATCACCCAGTTAGGGACATTTTTGTCATTTCCAGTTTAGGGTAATTACAAAAAAAAAAAAAAATCAATGTGAACATTCTCAAGCAGACCTTTTCATTATATCGCTACAACTTCACTCCCTGTTCAACTTTTCACTATGTCATGGTTTTTAGAATAATTCAGAAATCATGTGTCTTTTTGCTTTGAAGAGCTTCTCATCCAAGCTACATAATCACCATTTCACTGTGACACTCTCTACAGGTGCCATTACAGTTGAGATTGATGCAAAGACGCCTTTTCGCCTTTTCTCTTAGTGCTTGTATCACTCATTCTAGAGACATACAAAACAAAATGAAACAAACCTAGAGCTAGAAAGTACAGCTATTCCTCACACAGGATTTAGTGGAACTTGAGATCATGGAGACATAGCTATCAAATCACAGACACACTAATGACCTGCTGTATGGCCCTGAGAAGGTTAGCTGTCCTCTCTGAGTTCCAGTTTCCTCATCTCTAAATTATGAATCATAATATTATCTGCTTCATAGAATAGTTGTGTGAATCAAAAGAGGTGAGACAGGTAGTGCCTACCACACAGTAGGCTTATCCAGTACTGTTAGCTATCATTAATGTTACCCTGGACTGTCTGCAGCTTCTGTGCCAGCCCCCAGATTTCAGACCACGAATGCATAAGCTGAGACCACATGAGTGGGTAGAATGCTAAGAGAAAATGGGCAGAATATAATACAAGACATATAATATAATGTATGTCTTATTTTTTCTTGTGTATGCACATAGAAAATTACATAAATTTTCTATGTGCATACACAAGAAAGAAAAAATAAGAAAGAAATATATTTACATATAAACTGTGGTTATCGTTTAATCATAAGATCCATGGGATTTTTGTGGGGTTTGTTTATTTTTTCAAGGTTTTTCTTTCTCTCTCCTTTTTTTTTTTTTCTTTTTGAGATGGGGTCTCACTCTGTTGCTCAGGCTAGAGTGCAGTGGCGTAATCAGCTCATTGTAGTCTCGACCTCCCAGGCTCAGGTGATCCTCCCACCTCAGACTCCCAAGTAGCTGGGACTACAGATGCACACCACCACACCCGGTTTTGTAGAGATGGGGTTTTGCTTTGTTGCCCAGACTTGTCTCGAACTCCTGAGTGCAGAGGATCTGCCCACCTCAACCTCCCAAATTGTTGGGATTATAAGCATGAGCCATCTCACCTGGCCTCTGAGGTTTTTCAAAAGAAAATTACTAATTTCATATGTATATTTTTCAAACGGAAATTTGCTCTTGTTGCCCAGGCTGGAATGCAGTGACGCAATCTTGGCTCACCACAACCTTAGCCTCCAGATTCAAGCGATTCTCTGTCGCAGCCTCCCGAGTGGCTGGGACTACAGGCATGCGCCACCAGGCCTGGCTAATTTTGTATTTTTAGTAGAAACGGGGTTTCTCCATTTTGTTCAGGCTGGTCTCGAACTCCCAACCTCAGGTGATCCACCTGCCTTTGCCTCCCAAAGTGCTGAGATTACAGAGGTGAGCCACTGTGCCCAGTCAAAAAAAAAAACATATTTTATTACTGTATTTTCCTATTCAGAAAGTAGCATCTATTTATTGGAAAAGTATTAGAAAACAGAGACAAGTAAAATGGAGAATATAGAAAGTACTAACAATCTCTTCCTCTTGGGACAATCAGATGGAAACCACCTTTTCAACCCCCTTCCGTTTTTTCTTTCTTCCTTCCTTTTTCCTTTTTAATGCATACTTTCAGAGTTTTAAGAATACATGTAATTTCAGATATTCATATGAATAAGATAATATATATCTTGTTTTATAACACACTTCTTTCTCTTAGTAATATTTTAAGAACATATTCTCATATCAAAATATAAATATATATATGTATTAATGGAAGTTCAATATTCTGTACAGTATCTATTGTACAGTTGGAGTGACCCATGATTAATTTTGGTACGGTATACCTTTCCCTGATATAAACATTTTGATCGGTAATTTTATTTGCAATTATACAAACGATGTATAAGTAACACCCTTCATAAAAATAAAACATTATAGAAAAAACTAATGATCCGTTGAAACCCCCTTCCTGGTTTTCAATTTTGTGATAATCAAAACTGACTTTTAAAAATGTAGGTCACATGACAAAGAAAACAACTTTATTCTTTCAGCATTTTCAACATTTTGAGGTGTGACAGTTTACAACGTTCACTTTGCATATCTTGTGAGGCATATTATCCCAGAGCATATTTAGATGTACGTATTACAAAATTCTTAGCAAAGCTTTATTTTTTTTCTGAAATACATCACTAATGTCTAAATTGGCAAGTAGGCAATTACTTATACTTTTCTCTGGTAGTCAAAACCTTGATTCTTGATATAAGTCAAAGCAGCAAGAAATGTTGGTATAAAGAAATAGTATGTTTACATGCTTTTAAATATTTTCAGAATTTTTATTTTCAAAAATTTCAATGTTCATCTTTCTTTACTGTTGTTTAAACATTTAAAATGCATGCTTGTGTGCATTTTTGATAGATCAGTATAGGTAATATACCTCATCATTAGATCATTAGTGAAAAACGTCCTTTATGCAACTCCCTTTAACCTCAGTTATTAGGCTCCTACCTGTTGATCCTGCAGCACTCTGTGCCAGCGTTTATCTAGCCCTTAGCAACTTCTCAATGAAGCAAAAGGTTTCAAGGGTAAGTAGAAACAGATACACAAATAATTTGGTTCAAATTATGTTCACCACAAATATGTAAATAGTGAGTTCAGGGATTTTGGAATTAATTTTCCTGTTTTATTGTTTTAATTCTTACTTTTATAATGACTAGTTATGGCTGAGTTCAACTATTCATGATTAAATATTCCAATCCATATATATGTATAAATATATACACATACACATATATACACAACATATACATATATATATATGTATATACTATATAGAGAGAAAATACTAATAATCTAGTAACCATATATAAAATACACATACGTGGTAAACATTTATGTCATTTTGAAATTTATTTCTTGAAAATTTCTTGTAAGTTTATTAGCCATCTAAGAAAATTAGTGTCACTCTTTAGGGTAATAGCTTTTATTTTCTTACCACAATCATTCACTCATTTTAGACTGGATCTCTATAGACTTTTGAGTTTGCAGAAACTGATGCACAATGACTTAGTACTACTGAAGACACTGTTACAATATAATGACACGATCTCTGAGTGAAATTTAATATAAGCTAAAAATATGAACAATAGTGTCTTCGTTGAAATAGATATATAGCTCCTTAAGTGACTGTTTTAATTAGCACAGCTTTTAAAATACGTAAATCCTTGTATGTTTTATTTTATGCTTAAAACTTCCATTTCTATTTGATTATACACACATTGCATATAATTATGTGTAATTTTCTATATATGTATGTGGAAATTTCTATATATGTATATGGAATATATATGTATATGTAATTTTTATGTGTATATTTCTATGTATGTATATGTGTGTATATATATATTATGTTTATATATATATATATATAATTTTCTATTTGTATTTACACATGACTCTAGCCAAGAATCTGCAGTGTCTACCAGTTGCAGCAGCTTCCCTGTGACTTCCGCCCTTCCAATAAGCTGCTTCTGCCACTCAGGGAAACCACTTCTTCCTTGACAGAAGTATAGAACTGTATCAAATATTTTTATCTAAATCTTGATTTTGTAAATTTTGTTAAAATGTTACTGTCCAAGACTCTTGGGTATAGAAAAAAAAAAAAACTCATAGAAAATGTGTCATCCTCCTATAGCTTACTTTCTACCTGAAGCATTTTGTCATTAAAGGGTTTGAGCAGGGAATGACATAATGTTTTTTATCTTTGAAAAGGAATTCTGTAGTTTCAGGTTAAGAGTATACTCTAAGAAGACAAAGGTAGGCAGAAGCATGAAAACTGGTTAGGAGGCTATTAAAATAATTACAGTGTGAAATATTACAACATCATTTGAAGTATAAGTCATCCTAAAGTTTTTTTGTATTTTTTGTATTTTTGTGATTTATTTTTATTTTTACATGTTTTTATGGAGCATATTAACTCAAAAGCATTGTCACTGAAGTAGTATATATGTTTAAGTAATTTTTATAAATAAATGCTGGGCTTTTCAGTGTGTCACCAAAGTGCTACTTAAACCTGTAACATTTAATAATATTTATTATGTTTTAGTTGATCCTGAAAATTTGTTTATTGGTCGCCACTTCATTATTGGGCTTTCCACAGTTACCTTTACTCTGCCTTTATCCTTGTACCGAGATATAGCAAAGCTTGGAAAGGTAATTTTTTACATGTTAAATGGGCACAGAAATGTGCCTTGTTGCCTGCATTAATCTATTGTTTACTTGGCAAAGTTCTTAATTACAGTATTTATCTTTAGTTTCTTCTAGTTTACTTATAGTTATGCTAGAGTAAACTGTGTTTGAAACATTAGTTTGTGAGAACTGATAAATAGTTGATGAATATGAACTAATATATTCTTCCTTTTTCTTTTTTAAGGTAGATACCCTAAGTGATGTCAGACAGCACATTTTAAATTTAGAAAATATAAATAACTATATTTAAAGCAATTCTAATTTATTGGAAAAGTGTTTCATCTTTTTTGTAGGTAGTTTAAACAATTTAGAGTTAAACTAAAAAGTAACAATGAGATACTTCAATGGCTTAAAATATTTTTATTTGTAAGTTACAATTTCTATTGTGCTTATTTTTCATCTAGTGAATTTAGTTTTCAATGTGTTGATTGGTCAATTTTTGAGAATCTAGCCAATATTTATAATTTGTATTATCGAAGAGAAATACTGAACTCTTCTAATGAAAACAATTAAATAATTATTCAGTTCACTATAAATCTTCATTTGCACTTACTCTCAAGGAATATTTGTATTTTACCCAAAATATTATTGGTACTATGTCTACATAATGCCAGTGGCAAACATTCTGACAAGATATTTTTGCAAAGAGTTATTTATAGAATATTTTTATATTCTATTTTGAAAAACCCAACATTTGACTGAATTTTGCTTTTCGCTATTATGTTTGACATTGTGTATCCAGTGATGAAGCCCATCCTTCCAGGTAGAGCTGATGGTAGACATAATACTGTAACGTATTCTGACCACCCCTAATAGTCATCTGGAAACAAACAAGATGGTATCAAAACATGCTTTTTGGTGAACTATATAAAATAATTGAACTATTTTCCATTTCACATATTCAATGTAGACACAAATGTTATCTTCTGAGCAGACAGTGAGGCATTCATAAAAGGAAAGCTATTAACATTATATCATATTATTAATACCTGAGCATGTTTTCCCTAACTATCCCTTAAAAGTATCATATTGAGATATCTAAATAAATCCCTCAATGAGTAAAGCAGAGTGGTTAGGAGCCCTAATCTGGAGTAAGGCTGCTTGTATCTGAGTTCCCTCTCTGCCACTTTCCAGCTGTGTATCCTTAGGGATGTTGTTTAATCTCTATGCTCCTCAGAAGATAAGCCAATTCATAACAGAAACTTCTTTCTAGTTAAAAATTAACAACTTAGAAAACAAGGTTAATAAGATTCACATGAAATACAAGCAGTTTTATATTTATTTTTCCTTATCAGAGAAAGGAAACATAATGTGCTTATTCATTTAAAAAAATTAGGACCGGAAACACAGAACTAGCATAATGAGTTCACAGGACACAGACACACACAGACCAGTTTATATTTTAACCAGTTGACATAATGACAGAACAGAGAGCAAGAAGCAAAACAGGCCTAGAAACACAGACCGAAGGGCAAAACCATGTAGGAAAAGTAGAGCTGGAGAGCAGAGAGGAAAAGCTGAGGTACCCGCTCCTTAAAAATAAATAAATAAATAAATAAAAATAAAAAATAAAAAAAAAAAGGAGGGGGAGGAATGTGTGTGCTCTTGGAAGGGGAGAGTAGAGTAAAACAAGTAGAAGCAGCAACTATAGATAGGAAAAAAGCACATGTTGACACTAAAGTAGGACGTGAAGAGAAAAGAAAACATAATTTCACTTTTACTTTCATAAGTGAAAATCACCAGTTTTGTGTTCCATGCAGAAGCCACCATAAATGTTGAAAGCCGTATTGCATGGTGATGACAGTCATATATAATATTTGCTCGCCTACTTGGGGTGGGTGCGGGGAACCAAGACTATGATCTGATAAGAAGTTACCTGCTTCACATTGTCAACACCAAGATGCAAGAATAACCTACTTAAGAATTAGGCAAAAAAATCAATGTGTAAATTTACCCAATTAAAAATGAGAAAGATTTAACATTCTAAATAAAATAATCTCTGTCCTAAATTGGCGATACCCTTGTATTTTCTTTTACAGATCTCCCTCATCTCTACCGGTTTAACAGCTCTGATTCTTGGAATTGTAATGGCGAGGACAGTTTCACTGGGTCCACACATGTAAGTTTTGTGGTTACACTTGTTAGTCTTTGCTTTATGGCCTTTACATAGATATTTATATGGCATAGATGCAGAAATATAAAGTAATCATGGTATCAGAAACATCATTTATAGTTAGTATTTGACAAAATGAGATAAAATAATTACAGGTAAGTAAACATGCATTTTTCATTTAAGGCTGGTAGAATTAAACCAGGTTTACCCATTATTTTAATGGCCAGCCCAAAGAATTAGAAAAAGAAAAGAATTTTGAATAGTTGAAAAGAGGAACAAAGTTTCACTAGTTTAGAGTGAAATGAGAAGAATAGGGGGCATAGTGGATGTTTTTATCCATCAATTAAAATGTGAACACTGAAAAACACCCTTTATTCTCTTCTGATTATTTTTATTAATTATTTTGTGTTAAAATACTCCATCATTTGTGAACTACTGATAACAACTGATAGTGCTATTTGTTTCTTTTTAATGTTATTATTTGGTCAGGTAAAATGTTGACAAATTGGCATTGGTTCCCCCAATTTTAAAAATGTTACTCATTCATTAAATTTTATAGTGTGTGTACTGTCCATCTAAACTACACTGTTTATATGCTATGCTTATATGGTAGATTCCCCAGGTAATGACTGGGCAGTTTATAGTCACAGTCTCAAGAAAATGCTAAAATGAAATCAGCTTAGATTGGCTTTACATGCTGAATTGGGTTTCCACAATTCACAATAAATGTTAGCCAAATAAATAAATAATATATTGAGGAGTGTCCAGAGTACCTTAAATGTTTTCTCCAAACAAAACAAAGAAAAAATAATTTAAGATGTAATATCTAGCACAATGCAAGGAATACTAGATTTTTCATGAATGGCATCTGTAAGTAAAAACATAAAAGGAAACCTAACGAAGAGTCGGAATTGTTAATGTAGTGGCCAAGGTAATTTATGTTTTCTCATTGATTAATTGTTGCTCTGCAAAATTAATTCATTTTCCACTGATAGTCTTCTTAGTTTACCAGGAAAATACCAAAATAAGTAAATAAATAAATAAAATAAGGCCTCAAGTTTATTGGGGAAAAAGCATGAAATATCTATGAAATATCCAGTCTAAGTGCATTTGATATAGCCTTTTCTTTCAAAAAAGCAAATGCCCATTTTGAAAGGATTGAAAAAAAGAAAGCATAAATATCTGTAATGTTTATATTAATCTTTTTCCTCAAATAACTTAATCCTGATTCGTATTTGTATTGGTCAACTCAGAATGTCATAGCAAAGAAACATAAACTGAATAATGTTAAATGACAGTAATGTATTTTCTCATAGCTCTGGAGGCGGGAAGTTAGAGATCTGGGTGCCAGCATGGTAGAGTTCTGGTGAGGGCCATCTTCCTGCCTTATTGAGTTCAGTCTTCCTGCTTTGTCCTCACATGGAAGAAAGACGGCAAGATTTCAGGTGTCTCTTTTTATAAGGGCACCAGTCCCATAATGAGGGCCCCATTCTCCCTCCACGCACTTATCTAACCCTAATCATCTCTCAAGGTCTCCCAAAGACCTCAACTCCAAATGCCAGCACATTGAGAATTAGGGTTTCAACATATAAATTTGGACGGACACAATTCAGTTCACAGCATTAGTGGGCTTTTTGTTTTTTGTTTTTCTTTTTTTTAGAGACAGGATCTCATTCCCTCACCCAGGCTGGAGTGCAATGGTGAAATCATAGCTCACTGCAGCCTTGAACTCCTGGGCTCAAACAGTCCTCCTGCCTCAGCCTCCCATGTAGCTGGGACTGCAAGCATATGCCACCAAGCCCGGCTAATTTTTTATTTTATTTTTTGTAGAGATGGAGTCTCACTAAGTTGCCCAGGCTGGCCGCAAACACCTGGCCTCAAACAACCCTCTTGTCTCAGCTTCCCAAAGTGCTAGGATTAACAGGTGTGAGCCACCATGTCTGACCTACACTAGTGGTTTTGAAATGCACCTGTTTCACTTCAATATGGCCATTTATTCTTTCACTTTAGTAAACACTTACTGAGTTTCTATTGTTTCCAATGATTGTGTTGCGCCCTGAGAGAAAAAAAGTAGAGAGAGGCCGGAATTAGCAAATTGTTTGCAGTCAACAATGAAGAAAGGGCATATTCTAAACACCCCAGACCACAAAAAAAAAAAAAAAAAAAAAAAAAAAAAAAGAGGAAGAAAATAAATGACAGTACCAGCTAGTAAGTGCAAAACAGAAACATGAAAGAGGAAGAGACAAAGCAGAGGGTGCTTAATGATCTATCCCTATCAGGGAAGGTTTCCTGGAGAAAGAAAAATATGATCTGTGTGTTTTAAAAGATGAATTGAATTTTTTCCAGATACATAGAGGGTAAAGGTATTACAGACTCAGGGAAAGGTATGTATAAAACGTATGCTTAATTCTACTGATTAATATCATTTTGTGCATGTATGCACAAAAACATATACTTAATTCCACTGATATTAATTTAGTGTCTATTATGATGGTACCATATTCAGCTCTGGTTTTCAAAGCTGAATTCACAGTGACAGAAAGCTAATAAGTATATTAAACAGAATACAGTAAAGTATAATTTGGGCTAAAAGTTTTAACTGCGTAAGGCCAGTTTTAATTGATATATTTTACTATAAAAAGTGTTCGCAGGGAAAAAAATAATTAGGTTATAATAAGTTTGGTAAATATAGTATTATGAGACAATAATGAAGGGAAAATATAGCTAAAGTAGAAATTAACTTAATCTCCCAAATTGCACCATGGGAGAACAGTGTAAAGCAATGATTCTCAACACTTGTTTCACGTGGAATTATCTGAGTAGCGTTAGAAAATACTGATGCCAGGGCCCCACCTGTAGAGATTATGAAGGAATTGATTTAGGGGCCAGGCAATTGGATTCATTATTTTTCTGCTGGGGATTCTATGAACAAAGATTCTAGAGCTTCTTGGTTTAAAGAGATTAAAATCATGAGTACATTTTTTTTTTTTAACTGACACATTGTTTCTAAAATTAAACCAGAGATTTTGTGTTATTTTAGTTACTGTTGTGTGATCATTTTTCATGATTCATTCTCCACTGTTTTTTTTTTCAGTATTTTTTATGTGCAAAATGTCATGCGAAATACTGTCATGAATACATAGAGAAATAAAATATCTCTGCTTTCAAGGGGCTCACAGTTTAGTGAAGAAGACAAAGCTAGGCAAATGACTATCATATAGGCAGTGTACCTTAATACAGAGAAGAAAGGAAGGGCAGTCCACTTCCTGCTAGGGCTCAAAGAACTGAGTTTATGACCAAAGAGCTATTTAGGTCTGTTGTCAACAAAACATGGCCTGTATCTGTCTGACCTTCCTTTAGTAGTGATACAATATTTTATCTGAGTCTTTGAAATTTAATAACAAGGATTATTTACTTAACACTTTCAATATTTGGATGTTAAAGAAGTATGTTTTTTAATACTGTGCCACCTTTCATGTGTTTGAATACTACTGCAAACAACTTCTGTTCATCCTGATTTACAATCAGGCTAATCAAATCCCAAGTTCAGGAGTTGGCATGGTAGCTAGTCAGGCAGGCTTCTTTCTGAAAATATGACAGCAATGAATGCTTGGAATCCATAAAACATGAGAAATTCAATACTTCATGTGTGGTTTTCTTCATTTTCGGCTTAGATGAATGATCAGAAAACCTGCGATTTTTTCCATAGGTCTTTTAAAGTGATGTTTGAGAAAGATCTTTAAACTCACTATCAGAAAAGGCGAAGGTCTGTAATGGCTACTGGTGTTGACCTTGTTACTATGGAAACACCATTTTAGTGGTTATGTTTTAAAAATAAAACACAATTCAATTTCCTTTTCCATAATTTATAGGGCCATAAATTCTGCTTTTTGATACGATTTCAAATATCTCACAATCCAATGACTTTCAGGTTTTTTTTGGAAATTACATTCAGTTTTACTGTATTTTCTAACCTTTTGCTTTCTAACAACTGAGGTGGCAAAGAAATTTAATTGCTTTTCAGAACGTGTGCTGGTATAAAAATGCACTAACAGTTCTCCCATTTTTTTTCTAACTAGAATCAGAGGCATTATCACTGTGAAAGACCTTCATTCAATGCCTTACTAATAATTAATTATTCAACATTCAGAATGAAAATTATAACATACAGTCCAAATTTACAACAATTTTCCCCTCATATGACATCTTTCTTACAGCATTTTAATCATGTGATATTCTAAACAAAATTCCAAAAAGTGAGTCTATACTTTCAATAGGCATTTTTGCATATAAAATGTGTCTTCCCCAAGGATCTCAATGCAATTAGTTTCCTTACACCTTATCCATTCTAACCCTGAAATTCTACAGTTTAATGCTACACATAAAGAACTAGAGGTAGGGTTAAGAAAAGGATTTTTAAAAATCTGTAAAGACAGAGGAAGGCTACATATTTAAGGAAAGAAACAATTCATTCTGACAAATATTAGCCATTGAACTTTTGTTTAAGTTCAGAGGGACATGTGCAGGTTTGTTATATAGGTAAACTTGTAACATGGGGGTTTGTGGTACAGATTATTTCATCACTCAGGTATTAATCCTAGTACCCATTAGTTATCTTTCCTGATCTTCTCCTTCCTCCCAAGTTCTACCCTCTGATATGTCCCAGTGTGTGTTGTTCCTCTCTCTGTGGCCACGTGTTCTGATCATTTAGCTCCCACTAATAAGTGAGAATATGCGTTCTTTACTTCTCTGTTCCTGCACTAGTTTGCTAAGGATAGTGTCTCCCAGCTCAATCCATGTTCTTGCAGGTGACATGATCTCATTCTTTTGTATGGCTGCATAGTATTTCATGGTGTACATGCACCACATTTTCTTTAGTCAGTCTGCCACTGATGGACATTTAGGTTGATTCCATGTCTGACTATTGTGACCAGTGCTGTAATGAACATATGCATATACATATTTTTATGATAAAACAATTTATATTCCTTTGGGTATATACTCAG